AGTTTTGCCATAGGGCTACAAATTTGGGGTGTATTTTTGACACAAAACTAACTATGAATGATCATATAAAAACAATTGTGAAGACATGTTCATTCCAACTGCAAAGATTGAATCGAGTTAAAAAATCATTGAACAAATCAACATTACAGTCATTAGAGCACGCGTTCGTCCATTCACGTTTGGACTATTGCAATAGCTTGTTTTATGGTTTACCGAACAGATCGATTGTGATGCTTCAGTCCATCCAGAATAGAGCTGCTAAAATTGTTGCAGGTGGTGCTAAATTTGATCGCGTTACGCCAATTTTGAGGAACCTACATTGGCTAACTGTCAATAAAAGGATAATATATAAAATCTGTATGGTAATGTACAAGGTTTTAAATGGATTTACGCCAGAATATTTGACATGCAAGTTCAATAAGAAGAAATCAAATTTGCGTATTGGCACAAGTCTAAGATCTGATGATGATAATTTGATGGTTGTGCCTGTTTTTCGTTTGCAGATAGGAGCAAGAAATATTGCAGTGTCGGGGGCGGTTGTATGGAATGGTTTGCCACGGTCGTTGAGGGTGTGCGATTCAGGAATTGAAAACTTTAGGAAGAATTTGAAGACTCATTTATTTAATCAATAACTGTGAACTGATTTATTTGTGGTTTATTTTATCTACTTTTTCAGCTATTTCTGTTAATTATAGGATAGCGCTTTTGAAAAATTAACACTATTATTTTTGATAAGCGCTTCATAAATTTTAATGATAATAATAATAATAATACATACATACATACATACATACATACATACATACATACATACATACATACATACATACATACAAACAAACAAACATACATACATACATACATACATACAAACAAACATATATACATACACATAGGTACATACAGACACAAAAAACACGAACAACATGTGGAATTCGTCATGAATTCAATCTCCATGAACAAGAAATTAAACAAAAATCTATAAATAAATTAAACAAACAGGGGGGATAAATGAATGAAATGAAAATTGAATGAATGAATCAGTCAACCGAACTGGACCGGCCAACCGAACCGACTGACCGAACGGACCGACAAATCAACTAATCGTTCGATCAATTTATCAGTTTTATTCATCCATACATTCAACTTATGAAATTTATTCATTCGTTTGTTCGATCATTCACTCATTCACTCACTCACTCACTCACTCATTTGTTTCTCAAGTCATTCATTTATTCATTCAATTTATCAGTTTTATTTATCTAATTATCAAATTTATTTATTCATTCGTTCGTTCGTTCGGTCATTCATTCATTCATTCATTCATTCATTCATTCATACATTCATTCATTCATTCATTCATTCATTCATTCATTCATTCATTCATTCATTCATTCATTCATTCATTCACTCATTTATCCTTATATCATTCATTCATTCGTTCATTTGAATGAGTAATTGGGGAAAATAATTAATAAACGAATGAGTGAGTGGAAAATAACTAGAAGATTAAACAAAAAAAAAAAGAACAAGAAAGAATGAGTATTCAAGTATACCAAGGTTAAATACACGAACAAATAAGCGATTTATTTATTTATTTATTTAACACAACTGACCAGAGGGCCCAACGGACCACTTACCCAATCAGGAAGAAAAAAGAAATGTTATAAAGCTAGGCAATTGGCAGACAGATAAAACAGATTGAACGAACGAATGAACGGAATGAATGAACGAAAGGACGAACCAATGAATGAATAAAATAATTTACTAAATAATAACAACAACAAATAACAAAAACGAACAACAAAATATGAATGAAACAAACAAACAAACAGCTGGCTAACTAACATATGAAGGTATGGCGAGGTTGAGTGAATTGAGAAGTTTGTTCTCTAGCTCGTACAGGTCCTGTGCGTCCAACAACAGCAACAATGCATCCTGTGGAGTATGTGTGTGTGTGTGTGTGTGTGTGTGTGTGTGTGTGTGTGTGTGTGTGTGTGTGTGTGTGTGTGTGTGTGTGTGTGTGTGTGTGTGTGTGTGTGTGTGTGTGTGAATCGAATGAATAATCGAATAACGAATGAATGAATGAGATGACTAATTGGGCGTGTGTGAATAAGTAATCAGATAGTTAGGTGAATGGATGAATGAACAAGTGATTTTGAATAAACATTAGATGAATGAATGATTCAATGAATGAATTAATGATCGAGTAGATGAACGAATGAATGAATGAATGAATGAATGAATGAATGAATGAATGAATGAATGAATGAATGAATGAATGAATGAATGAATGAATGAATGAATGAATGAATGAATGAATGAATGAATGAATGAATGAATGAATGAATGAATGAATGAATGAATGAATGAATGAACGACCGAACGTGCATATTTACTTACGAACGAAAGAACGAATTCGAATGCATAATATGACAGATTGCTGAATAGGTAATGTTTTTATGAATGCATAGATAAAGGAAAAAATGAATGAACGAATGGAAATAAAAGAATAAAAATGAATGATTGAACGGTTGGCTGAACAAGCATTTAAAAAAATGTAGTATAAATGGATGCATGCTGGTTAATCTAAACAACATTAGCATTTCAAAAAAACTTATATAAACAATAAAACTTTTGATTAACTTTTTGAAAAAGTTAATCAATTACTCATTCATTCAAACATTCTTTGATTCATTCATTAATTCGTTCAACCATTCTACATTCATCATTCATTCATTCATCCATTCATTCATCATCCATTCATTCATTCATCATCCATTCATTCATTCATTTTTCACTGAAAGTTTTAAAAAGAGATTTCTTTCAAATTCCAATGAGCAAACATCCAACTGGCTGTTTGCTAATTATCTCAGTCTAGCTTAATGATGTGGTAAAACAAGAATGGAAAAATATCATGGAAAGCCAATAAAGTGGACCAAATGGTACATGCTGTCAAATAATTCCATTCATTTATTGTTATTCATTCATTTATTTGTTATTCGACCTGTTCATTCAATTACTCATTCATTCAAACATTCTTTGATTCATTCATTAATTCATCATCCATTCATTCATTCATCTTCCATTCATTCATTCATCATCCATTCAATCATTTATCCATTCATTATCAATCCATACATTCATTCAATCATTCATTCATGTATTCATTCATTCATTCATTCAACACAAAAAAATAAAACAACAAAAAATTTCAAAATTCATTACACTAACTTGCATTTGCTGAGTCAGCTGCATCTCTCCCCTCCTTATGGATTTTTTTATTCAAAATTTCTCACAGAACCAAAAAAAATTTAAAAACTTCTAATCAATTAATTAATTTCAATATTATTTCTAAATTATGTACTTAATTATTTATTTATTTGAATATTTACTTTTTAATTAACTTTTCCTCTTTACAACTTATCTCATTTTTGAATTATTTTCAACAGAGAACAGTAACTAGCTTTAGAATTTAAATTTTATTATCATCATTATTATTGATTATTATTGTTATTATTATTATTATTATTATTATTATTATTATTATCCAGTAGAAATGTCAGCAGTCCAGTTGTTAACAGCACCAAACCACATTAGGCCTTTGCTAGAATTATTATATACCTATTATTTTATAACATTTATTATTATCTATAATAATAATTATTATTATATTATAATTATTACTATTCAGAATGGTTATGTATGTTAAGTGCGTCTGTTTCAACAACCCAAAATCTCAATTTGTTTTGTTTTTAAAATCTGTCATCTCTCTATGCCTAAAAAATTAATTCAAAAAGATTATATATTCTACTAAACTGAATTAATTCAAAAAGATTATATATTCTAACACACACACAAAAACATATATATATATATATATATATATATATATATATATATTTATACATTATATATAATATATATATTATGTATAAATATATATTAATATATAATATAATATATAATGATAATCATATCATAATGAATTTGTACAGTAACATAGCTATAGTTGTGCTTGGTTGGATTTATAACATTTAACTTAACAACCATGATATATGATATGGCTTGGAAAAAATTAATTACGAATAAAGTAAAATTTATAAAATTGGAATTAAAAAATGAAAATTATTAAAAACCTCTACCAATGAATGAACTACAGACGACGAAAATGGAGAAATTTCGTGAAGAAATCATCCATCATCATCCAACTATTTGTGTTTTCATTCTGTAAGGGTATTTAAAATTATCGGCGATGTTCATTTATTCGAAGTCGAATCGACCAGATTCGGTTACGGTTTTCAATAATGAAAACTCATTGACTTTTCTATTCTATTATTCTATATAAAATTACTACATGTTTTTTATTGTATTATATATAAATTATTTTAATTGTTATTTTAATAAGCAGTGGTTTCAATGAATAAAACTTGTAATCTATTAGAATATATCCACGTTATTTTATATAAGGAAAAAAGTATTTTGCACTTAAACTAAATAAAATAAACTATTTAAATATCAATTATATTATCACAATTTTTTTATTGAACAAAGCTATTGTAGATAACATATATGTTGAATCAAAATATTTAAATATATGGATATATCTATGAATTAGATGTCATCTATCTATGAATTAGATATATGGCAGATAAAGAATAATTGTGGACACTATATTCTTGAGTTTGCCATGATTAACATTTTCAATATTTTAAGTATATGACAATATTTTTCACATGTTTACTAACTTTTATTAATTAACTATTGCAAACAAAACCACATTCATATAGAACAAAACATATTTTTCGGTAATGTAACATCACTCGCTGCATAAAACTTTTAAAACCTCAATTCAAATTTAAACATGCTAAAAGTGAAACGTCAAAATTATTACATAATTTCAAAACTAATTATAACACAAATATTAGATACTTTTTCACTTTTTATTAATTCTGAAAAGTTTACTAAAGCAGTTAATTAATTCCTAAGCAGTAGCTCAAATGGATAAATTTATATTTTTAATGAAAGATTTGTTAAAAAGAGAACGTGATGCTGAAATTGAAGAAACCAGGTTTCCAAATCTTTATTTATTTATTTTATATATTGATTATTGTATACAATATACTAATATAGAATATACTATATGGTATATAGTGTAATAGTATAGAGTGTAATTGTATAGAGTGCAATTGTATAGAGTGCAATAGTATAGATAGATAGAGAGAGTGTAATAGTCTTATATAGATAGACTAGAGAGTGTAATATCTATTACATTTTCAATAGCATTTAACATTTGCTTTGTTAAAAAATTAAAAATTATCAAATTAATGATGATAACATTTAATCTAAACTTTATTTTACACAGTGGAAGGATTAAAAACAAATAAATTATTAATGATAAAATTTCACAGATTGTTGGTTGAGAATTGTCCACTAAAGATTCTAGAAAGGAAAGGACAGTGTCTGCTGAAGTTGAGAATATGGAGACAGTACGTTGGCCTATTCAATAGAACTGTTCTTGTTTTCAAGAAAAATGCTACAGATGAGCTGCCTGCCCATAGCTTATCATCTGGTATTGCAGCCGATATAAGACATTGAATTCCATTCATTTCTATTTTGTTCTTAGGCACTTGAATTTGTACGAATTAATGAGAATATTTTCACTCAATAACAATTGACTAGCTTATTTATAATGGATTGCTGGATGAATGGATGGATGGATGGATGGATGGATGGATGAATGGATGGATGGATGGATGGATGGATGGGTTAAAGGTTAGATGAATGAAGGAATAGTTGGACAGAAAAATTAATTGATTAAATTTGTGGATGAACAAATGTACGAATTGGTTAAGTCATTGATTGATAATGGGATATGAAATGAATGAATTGATAGGTGAATGAAGGAATGGATGAATAAATTATTAATGGATCTTAAATATTAATAATCGGATGATCATTTAAATGAATGAATGAATGAACGTTTGAATGAATGAACGAACGAATGAATAAATGAATAGCTTAAGTAATATATGGATGGATGAATAAGTGTGTGGTCAAATGGGTAGATAAACAAATGGATAAATAATTGAATGAATGAACAAATAATGGAGTAGATAGATCTCAATTACACACACACACATCTGCATACACACACGCACATCCACACGCACAAATTCACACACGCACGCACACATACATCTACATACACACACGCACATCCACACCCACAAATCCACACATACGCACATTCACACGCACACACTTAGCTCCATACATCAATATAGCCCCATTACCCTAATCCTAACCAACCAGGTGACATAGTTGGCTTGAGTCTGACCTCGCCGAACGAAGAAATCATAGCCACAGGGATCGTTTCGAAAGTTCTTCAAACCAGTATAAGTGTGGCCTTTGATGACGTCGACAAACTTTTGAACCTCTCCGACGATGACCAGTACAAGGTCATCAAACTGGCCAATGACGTCACTTACAAGAGGGTGCAGAGGTCAGGGTGCCTGACCTTGATAGATGACTATATGAATGAATAAATGAATGAATGAATGAATGATTGAATGAATGAATGAATGAATGAATGAATGAATGAATGAATGAATGAATGAATGGATAGAGGTATGAATTAATTGATTAATTAGTTAATTAATGTATAAATGAATAGTTGAATAGATGAAATCCATTCGTGGTTTATTCACGGTCCATTTGTCTAGTTTTATATCATTCATTCACTCAATCTGTGCTTTAGAGGACTGGTTAATTCAGCAGTATATCTGTTTTTATATTCACCGATCAATCCATCCATTCATCCATCCATTCATCCATCCATTCATTCATTCATTCATCCATCAATCGATCAATGCAGAGCCTTGCATCAGATGGAGAGATCAAACAATCATTTGTTGGATGTTCTATTTGGGTCAGCATCATTATCACCACCGCTGCAGGGCGGTCCTGATAGTGATGGTCAGTTTTTCGTTGGGGTTTATGGTGTCTGATCAATCAATCAGTCAATCATTATCAACCAATCAATCATTCAATTACAATCAATCTATAAACCAATAAATGCGTGGCATCAGTGGTGTTCGCAATCTACAAACACATGATGTATAGGATGGATAGATGGATGATGGATGGATAAATAGATAGATGAATGGATAACTGGATAGATTGATGAATGGATGAATTAGTGAATTAATTAATGAATTAATTAAAGACTATACAGTTATACACAAAGATTAGTGAATGAATGAGTGAGTGAGTGAATATATAGTAGAGAAATGAGTACATGGAGAGACCAATGAAACTGTATAGCAATCTTCCTATTCTTACATGTAGAAACAAAGAATCGTACACTGGGGTATGACGGACTAGAACCTTCACGCATTTGAACCCAGTTGCTGCAACTCAGCAGACAGGCACTTTTCCACTACGCCACTACTTCTATACATATATATATATTCTCTTTTGTAACATCACAACAAATATCCACTAATTTTTCTTTTGTAGATTTACAATTTTTCAACTCTAACTTGGACCAATCACAGCGCGAGGCTGTGAGGTTTGCCCTTCGGCAGAGGGAGCTGGCCATCATACATGGGCCCCCAGGTACTGGCAAGACAACGACCGTGGTGGAAGTCATCAAGCAGTCTGCAGTTAGGAGAGGGCTTAAGGTAGGAGGGTGTTTTGTCATTCATTCCTTCATTCATTCATTCATTCAATCATTCCTTTATTCATTCATTCAATCATTCATTCATTCAATCATTCATTCATTCAATCATTCATTCAATCATTCATTCAATCATTCATTTATTCATTCATTCATTCATGTCTTAAATTTACCGACTAGTTACCTTCATTCTTTCATTCATTCGTTTATTAAGTCCATTCAGTCATTCATTTATTCATTCACTTCGTCGATCAACCATCAATGGAACATTTCAGTTTTAAAATCCGAAATAGTTATACTGGTAAACTGTAGTTGTGAAATTGATAGAAATTACTTTCTACCAGAGTGCCTACAATCCACCTACCTATCACTCACTGTATCATGACAATGCTGAAAAATCAAGCAGATAATAGGAAACCTTTTTCACACACATACACACACACACGCACATACACATCCATGTCCAAACACACACAAACACACATTCACATCCATACACACATACACACACGCACATGCGCGCGCACAAATCTACACACGCACACACACATCCACACGCACAAATTTATACACGCACATTCACACATTCACAAACACACATCTACATCCACACGCACACACACACACACACATCTACATCCACACGCACACACACACATCCACACCGTTTCACTAACTCAAGGTCTTAGTCTGTGCCCCGTCGAACATAGCAGTGGACAACTTGGTGGAGAAGTTGAGTGACTCGAAGTTGAAGATGGTCAGGCTTGGCCACCCGGCACGTATCATGCCATCTATCGTCAATTACTCACTCGACGCCGTCCTCGAGTCGTCGGATGATACCAAGATAGCCGATGATATCAGGAAGGATATCAATCAAACTCTGGTTGGTCTGCCTGCTTGTATCTTTGTTTTCTGTGTCTTCATTTTTTCATTGCTATGTAATAATGATACATTCTCACGTGGTTTCATGCGTCATCATCATCGTCGTCATCATCATCATCATCATCGTCATCATCATCGTCATCATCATCATCAACTTCGATTATGTGTAGTGCTGTGAAGTTCGGTGACTTCTCGGTGATGGAATGTTTCGGTAACTTTCGGCAAGTACTTTGTTGGATCTTCTCGATTCCATATTTGCTTGTTACAAAAATAAAACCTGGCGACCCACCCATCTTCATCGTTTTCGCCATTTCAACATTCAAAGAACAAGCTAAGAAACCCGAAGAAGACACCACCATCATCATCACCGACGATGATGGAGAGATGGAAACTGCGGGATGAGATGAGGATTTTGAGGAAGGAGTTGAAGGAGAGGGAGGAGCAAGCCGTGACCGATGTGCTTGCCAGGTCACTGGTTGATTGACTGAGTGAACGAACGAATGAATGAGTGAGTGAGTGAGTGAGTAAGTGAGTGAGTGAGTGAATGAAGAGTTGGATGAATAAATAAATGAATATGTGAATGGTTGGGTCCGTGAATGAATGAATGAATGAACGAATGAATGAACGAATGAACGAATGAATGAATGAACGAATGAATGAATAAATGAACAAACGAAATAATGAATGAATGAATAAATGAACGAACGAACGAACGAATGAACGAAATTTATCAAATGATCTTCCTAAAGATCTCGGGTAGTGCTGTGCACACTGACAATGGCTTCTGATGACGGACCCATGTCACCGAATCGATTTAAAGATCTGTTTGACGTCGTCGTCATTGATGAGTGTTCGCAGGTCTGTCTGTCTGTCTGTCCGTCTGTCTGTCTGCTTGTCTGTCTGTCTGTCTGTCCTGTCTATCTGCTTGTCTGTCTGTCTGTCTGTGTGTGTGTGTGTGTCTGTGCGTGTGATTGTGTTATGTGTGACTCTTTTGTGATTGTGTTATGTGTAACTCTTTATCCGTGTGTTTGTGTGTGTGTGTGACTGTGTTTATGTATCTATGTGTAGGTATGACTGTGTGTGTGTGCGTGTGTGTGTGGTTTTCTTTAGGTGTACTTAGGTATGTGATTGTCTTTTTTTGTTCTTTTGTTAATTTATCTATACACACAGAGAGAGAAAGAGACATACACGCTCAGAAACACACATACACACACAAATACATACGCAGACACGCACAAATACACATACACACACAGACACGCACAAATACACACACACACACAGGCAATGGAAGCGTCATGTTGGATAGCCTTGTTAAGGGGTAAGAAGTGCGTGCTGGCCGGCGACCACAACCAACTACCCCCCACCATACTGTCCACGGGGTACAGATGAATGGATGGATTGATTGATGAATGAGTGAATGAATGAATGAATAAATGAATGAATGAATGATTGAGTGAATTAATGAATGAATGAATGATATACGGACTGGATAAATGAATAGATTGATGAATTGATGGGTTGTTGTAGTAATAACATTTTACAAAATCCCAATAAAACACCAAAATTAATTTCTCTTCTTCCAAACCTATCTAAACATATAAAACATTCAGACGTACCTCAAAACACACACATGCATTTACAACTCGCGCGCACGCACGCACACGCTCTACACACACACACGTACACACACGCACACACATACACATCAGCGCAGACCTCCCATCAACCTAATAACCCCACACACAACAGCGAGGCAAAGCTTCAGCTACAGACGAGCCTCATGGAGCGACTGATCGAACGCTTCACGTCATCGTCGGCTGCTGGCAACGGAGACGTGGTTCGAATGCTGACCACGCAGTATCGAATGCACGAGGATATTATGTGCTGGTCGTCTGAAACTTTTTATGGCGGGAAATTATCGGCCCACAGTTCCGTGGCTCATCATTTGCTAAGGTGGATGGGAGGGTGGGGGTTTGTTGGGGTGTGTTCAGTTTGTTGGATGGTGTTGGTGATGATGATGAAACTGAGTGTGTTGGTGACGGGATGATGAGGAAAATGGTGATGATGATGATGATAATGATGATGATGCTATGATGGTGACGAGAGTTAATCAGTCAATTAACTATTTAATTAGTTAATCAATTTATTAGCTAATTAACTGAATGATTAAATTTTCTTAGGGACCTGCCTGCTGTTGAACCGACGGACGAGACAACCACGCCCCTCCTGCTGGTCGACACCAGTGGCTGTGGCTACCAGGAGGTCTGCCTGGAAGATGGCGTGTCCAAGGGTAATGAAGGTAATGATGATGATGTTGATGATGATGATGATATTGATGATGATAATGATGATGATGTTGAAGATAATGTTGATGATGAAAAGGATGATGATGATGACGATGATGGTGATGATGATGGAGATGTTGATTTTATGATGATGATGATGATAATGACGATGACCACCACCGTCATCATCATCATCATCATCATTATCAACATCATCACGTGACACCATCACATGGTATCATCACGTGACATGATAGGTGAAGCTGATTTAGTCTGCTGTCATGTTAACAGACTGTTGAAGGCTGGAGTTAAGGAAGAATGCATTGGAGTTATTGTACCATACAACTTACAAGTTAGTGTTAAAATTCATTCATGCGTTCTTTCATTCATGCATTAATTCATTTACTTATTCATTCATTCATTCAATCATGCGTTCGTTCGTTCATGCATTAATTCACCTATTTATTCATTTATTCATTCATTCATACGTGCGTTCGTTCATTCATGCATTAATTCACCTATTCATTCATGCAATCAACCACCACTGAATCACATAGGTTGAAATACTGCGTCAGAAGATGTCTGAGAGGTTCGCGAGGGTTGAGGTAAGATCAGTTGATGGTTTTCAGGGTAGAGAGAAGGAGGTGGTCATCATATCGTTGGTGCGGTCCAATGCGGTTGGTACGTAGGGGCTGTCCGTTCGCTCGTTTGTTCGTTCGCTCGTTTGTTTGTCTGTTTGTTTGTTCGTTTGTTTTGTTGGTTGGTTGTTGGTTGGTTGGTTTGGTGGTTGGTTGGATGGTTGGTTGGTTGGTTGTTTGTTTGTGTGGGTGATAGCTTGTTGGTTTGTGTGGGTGTTTGTTTATTATTGGACAATATCATTGTTGAGAAAGTTGAGACATAATCCTTCTTCAACTGTCTTTTGATGTTTGTGGATGTTTTCAGCTTCTCACTTTTTTCCTAATCATCATCATCATCATCATCATCAACAACATCAACATCATCATCACCAACAACAACATCATCATCAACATCAACAACAACATCACCAACAACAACATCATCATCAACATCACTATCATCATCAACATCATCAACATCGTCATCATCATCATCACCATCAGGCGAGGTGGGCTTCCTAGCTGAGAAACGCCGCATCAACGTAGCAGTGACCAGGGCCCGTCGTCAGCTGGCCATCATCTGTGACGTAACCACTGTGTCACGTGACGACTTCATTGGCGG